TTTTCTCTCTCTCTCTCTCTCTCTCTCTCTCTCTCTCTCTCTCTATTTTGCCGAGTGCATCGCAGCGGGTGACCTGCGGGCAGCTTGCGACCTCAGGTTCGCTAATCCAACGAAGACGGCGGTGACTCCCCCCTTGCACTCTGCTAAAAGACTACGCTGCTTTCGCTGACTCTGTCGCGAGCTTCCTTCCAAGGAGCAGAGCGACCCTTTCGCAGATGCTACGTGACGACAAGAAATCGTTCCTTGACGGGACGGCGGAACAAATTGCGACATCCGCGGACGCTCGCCCCCCCCCCCCCCCCCCCGCGCTCTCAATGGCAGCGTGTCAGGGCCTTGCTTGCAGCCAGAGGGCGCAATGAAGGGGCCTCTCGTGCACGGGATGCCACTTGTGACGTTTGACCCCCCTTCCCCCCAGGAGGTGCAAGAAGCCCAGGGGGCCGGGGGAACTGCTTCGGAGCGCGCGCTCACCTCTCAGGCTGAAGTGGCTGATCGCACCTAGCCCCAGCGCCGCGCGGTTGACTTCGGCCGCGGAGCTGCCTTTGGTGATGTTGTTCGTTCGTTTGACGATTTGCCTGGTCTGCGAGCGTCGGCCGCGACAGGGGGTCCAGCGTCTCCCCATCAGTTGTCGACCTGGAGGTTTTGGACAGGTATGTCAAGGCTGACAAGCCCCCAAGGCCTGACGGTGCCCCCGCTGATTTGTTCCGCGCTGCCCCCCGTGCCATCGCTAAGGCCTCGCGTCGTTTGCCGTGCGAGATTGCCCCTGCTGCTCGGGGGGGGGGGGGGGGCCTTTCTCCGCCGGGGATCGGGGGCGCCGCGGCCGGCTAAGGCCCAGCGCAACATCGCTATGGCCAGCACTGTGAGAAGCTGCATCATCGCCGCGTCCGCGCCTTGGCACCCGACTGTCTTTGGGGGCGTGCCTGTTGGGCGAGCAGTGCGAACGGCGCGGGGTGGGTGCTCGCAGGGGGCCTGAGATGGCGGCGCGCGGCCTCCACTTGGCCAGCGCTGCTGCTAGTCAGCGGCGACCCCCCCCCTCGTCCTATCCCTTGATGTCGCGGATACCTTCTACAGTATCATTATACAGTTCGCGTTGTCACTGCCGGGTGAAGAAGAAAACTTGGGGGGTGCTTGGCAGCGCGTGGACCCGCCGCCTGCGCTGCCAGATGGCGCCAAGGCCATGCTGGCAGCGAACAAACCGGTGGAGGCCACGTTCCGCCCACGCACTTGCTCGCCCTCATGTGCGAGCCCCAATGCCGCACTTCCCGGCAAATTCACAGCGCAACGGGTTGCGTCATTCCAGGAGGCGGAGCCCGTCCAGGAACGATGTTGGCTGCCGTATGCGTGTATACATATATACATATATATACATACATACATACAAACATACAACTTGGTTTCAACTTGCTTTCCAAGTCCCACCTGCTAGATCTGCGCGAAGCCATCGTTGGATTGGCGTCTTCTGTGCGCGATGTCTTTGGCCCGCCTGATCTACTATGCTCGACCCAGAACGATCGGGGGCAAGCCCAGGCAGGCCCCTCTTTTGTGGGCGACCTCACAGGGGCACGATGTGTTAAGTTGGCTATATGTATGTATGCATATATATATATATATGTATATATATATATATATGTATATATATATGTATATATATATATATATGCCTCATGTAGCTCTTCCCCTCCCCGAAGCTCTCCACGCGGCTGCCTGTCTCTGGGGCCCCGCCCGAGTGCCGCCGAGACCGAGGCCCTCCTCTGTCTTATAAGCAAGGGGTCTCGCGGGGTTCCCGAGTTATCATTTGGCCCCCGTGGAATCAAGTCCGATCGTTTGGGGTCGGCATTTCCCGAAGCGACGGTGCACGAGGTTCTGGGAGTTCAGAATTCTTCCACTGGCCGCGTGGCCCCCGAGGTGGCGGCTCGAGCTGGCAGGGCCCGCGCTGCACTTTTGCCCATCGAGGCCACATTGGGCCCGCGGCGAGGACTCTCGCTCAAGGCCGGGGTTCTCTCTCCGGAGGCGCTTTCCTCCTCTGTCTTGCACTGCGCGGCCCGTGCGCGGCTTGCCCCAACTCTCGCCCAAGCCAGGCGCGCGCTTGGCGCGCGCGCGGCGGTTTGTCGAGCAGCTCGAAACCTCGCGGGCACAACTAGCGCCAATGAACATGATCTCTCCGCCAGATGGCTGCTTGAGTCGGGGGCTGCCACGCGCCGTGGCCGCGAGTATTGCGAGACTCCGCTACCTAGCGACGATGCTCGCCCACGCCCTCATCTCATTCGCGCGCAGGTTGACGTCGCATGGGGTGGCCCGCGAGGGTGGGCCCAGCATTTGCAGCGCGATTACGATTGCCTCCTGTTCTGCGCGGGCCCGGATCTGATGCCAACCGATATTGTGGCGAATTGTCTGGTTCGCTTTGTGGTCGAGCACCCTCGTTCGCTTCGCTCGCTCGCGTCGGCTGCCGCGCGCCGCGCCGAGCCCCGCGCGTTAGATGACATGCGCAGGACTATGCGGGAAAGAGAGCCCCGAAGCGCTGCCAAGGGGAACCCATTGAGTGATGGCCCCCCCCCAGCCCAACATTTCCTCTGCCCCCAGTGCGCGCATAGCTTGGAGTCGGAACTGGCCTTGCTCGCGTGCGTTGGCGACCGTCGCGAGACCCCGGCGCCCCTGCGGCGTTTGCCGCTGGCTCTGTTTGCCAAATGCGCTCAGAGCAGTTCGAGCATGTTGCCAGGTTTTCCCAAAGTAGTTTGCGCAACGCCCCTACTTGTCACTTCTCTTGGAGCAGGTCAGGCTGCGCGCCAAGTCCGACTCATCAAGAGGCGCTGGAGACCGCTCGCGCTGAAGCACATCGGGTGGCAGCTGACAGTCGAGCCAGAGGGGGCCCCGCCAACTATGCGTCAACCCCGCCAGTTCAGTTAGAGGTCCCCCCTGTTGGACCTAAGATCGCGACCTCTCGCAAGCAGCTCAAGGAACTTGGCGTAGATTTGCAGGCCATACTCCCACCCCCCGCGCCTGACCCAAGTGCTTTCTCACGCAGGCCCCTCCCCTTCAGGCCCATGAAATACGTCTTGTACTTTTTCTCGAAGTTTCGGGGCGAGCAAGACTTCCAGTGGCACCTAGAACCTAGAAGCCTTGATCAAGGTTTCCCCGACCAGGCTGACTGCGTTTAGCATCGACGTTACGAGTCATCCTGTCCATGGTGATCTCACGGCGCCCGCAACCGTTAGGCTTTGGTCGCTCATGCTCCGCTCTAGGAGAGTTGATGAAATTATTGCTGGACCCCCGTGCGAAACCTGGTCCTCCGCTCGTTTCCTCGAAGTTCCCGAGGGCGCCCCTGGGGGGAAGAAACCGCCGCGCCCCATGCGATCAGCTCAGCATGTGCGGGGGCTTAGGTATCTCAAATCGCGTGAGTGTGAGCGGGTGCGCCTGGGCGATATGCTGCCATCCTTTTTCCTCTTCGAGGCTTGGACGCATGGCGTGCCAGCTGCTATGGAGCACGCATCACACTACGCGCTTGTGCCCGACGAACCGAGTCCTAGGTTAACGACTCGAGAGGCTCCCTGGGGTTGAGGCCCACCACATGCACCAGTGCATGTTTGGAGGCCGTGAGCTGAAACCCACTACGCTGTTGGCTGTCCGCTTGGCCTCCATGGGCTCCACTCTAAGCGCCAACCAGGGACACGGAAGGTGCACCCACTCGAGGCCTCACAGGGGTTTCTGGGGTGTTGGCCATGATGGATGGACTCTGGCGCACGGCACATCTAAAGACATACCCGAGTCACTTGTGTCAATAGTTGGCTGCTTCTTTCTTGCAGGAAGCCCGCTCCAGGTTCCCCGAACTGTGCGTTGGCCCCGGCCGCCCCCCTTGCCCGCCCTTGGATGTCGTCAGACCACCACTTGCTTGGACCCTTGACGACGAGTGTGCGTTCAGAGCACGCGTGGACCTTGACGATGATTATGACGGGTGGCACGTTCAATCAGGGTTACAACAGTTCGTGGCACCGTTGGATCCGTACTTGGTTCGGGGCATTAGTATGGACTGCATGCTGCATCGGGCGGCTATGCACTCCGCTGCTTGATGTGACGTACCAGTTCCCCCTCTCTTTGTTTATGTGCATTCCTATGATGTTGTAGTAGTATTATTAGTATGTTGTTATGCGTGTTCCCCTATTGAGTTGCAGAGCTGCTCGGCCCCTCGTGCGAACAGCAACGTTGCTTCCAGTGAAGGGCTCTGCTGTGAAGGGAAGCCGAGCCAACCCAGGCTCCGCCAGGCGCGCCACCCTTCTTGGCAGTAGCAGGAGAATGCTGCCCACACATTGGGCAGCTGCACCGCAGGCAATAATTGGTCTCACGTTGTGGAGGAAGGCTGTTTTTTTCCAATCCTATACTATTTATTGTTTCCTATGTTAGGTGCCCATCCGCTTAAAACGATAATAGTATCCCTGCTCGCACCCACAGATGCGAGCTGCGCCCAGAGCGCCTGGCAGTTGGTAGTCCGCCTTCGCGTTCTGCTGCTGCTGCCTGCTTTCGTTCTTCACCCATTGGTCTTCTCGCCCTCTCTCTCTCTCATCATCATTGGCTTCGACTCTCCGACATTCGACCGACCGACCGACCGACCGAGGAGGAGGAAGAGGAGGTGGAGAGGGAGGAGCGGGAGGAGGAGGAGGAAAAGGAGGAGGAGGTGGAGGAGGAGAAGGAGAAGAAAACACGCTCGGCCTGTGCCACGCGCTCGGCCTCCGCTTTGCGGCGCTGGGCCTCCGCATTACGTTCGGCCTCTGCCACGCGCGCCGCCTCCGCCTTGCGCTCTACGCGCTTGGACTCCGCGGCCTTGTGCTCGGCCTCCGCCGCCTCGCGGCCGGCCTGGGCTGGAGGAGGATGGGGAGGAGGAGAAGAACGAGGAGGACGAGGAGGACGAGGAGAAAGAGGAGGAGGAGGAGGAGCAGGAGCAGGAGCAGGAGGAAGAGGAGGCAGAGGAGATAGAGAAGCAGGAGGAGAAGGAAGGAGGAGGAGGAGAAGCAGGATGGGGAGGAAACGGAGGAGTGGGAGAAGGAGGGAAGGAGGGAGGAGGAAGAGAAGGAAGAGGAGGAGGAGGTGGAGCAGGAGAGAGGGGAGAAAGAGGAGGAGGAGGAGGTAGAGGAGCAGGATAAGGAAATACAAGGAGGAGCAGGAGGCGGAGGGGGAGGAGGAGAAGGAAGAGGACAAAGGGGAGAAGGAAGAGGAGGAGGAGGAGGATGAGGACGAAGAGGAGGAGAAGGAAGGAGGAGGAGGAGGAGGAGGAAGAGAAGGAAGAGGACGAGGAGGTAGAGGAGCCGGAGGAGGAGGAAGAAGGAGGAGCAGGAGCGGAGGAGGAGGAAGAGAGGAGGTAGGAGGAGGAGGAGGAGGAGGGGGAAAGGAGGAGAGAGGAGAAGGAAAAAGGAGAGGGAAGGAGGAGGAAGGAGGAGGAGGGGAGGAGGGAGGGGAGAAATAAGAGAAAGAGGAGGAGAAGGAGCACGAGGAGGAGGAGGAGGAGGAGGAGGAGCAGGAGCAGGAGGAGGAGGAAGATGAGGCAGAGGAGATAGAGAAGCAGGAGAAGAAGGAAGGAGGAGGAGGAGGAGGAAGAAGGAGGAGGAGGTGGAGCGTAGCCGAGGAGAGGAGGAGGAGGAGGAGGAGGAGGAGGAGGAGGACGGGCAAAGGAGGAAATGGAAGTGGGAGAATGAAGAGAGGAAGAGGAGGAAGCAGGAGGAGGAGGAAAAGGAGGAAGAGGAGGAGGAGGGAGGAGGAAGAGAAGGAAGAGGAGGAGGAGGAGGAGGGGAGAAGGAGGTGGATGAGGAAGAGGATGAGGAGGAGGAAGAGGAAGAGGAGGGAGGAGGAGGAGGAGGAGGAGGAGAGGTAGTGAGCAGGAAAAGGGAAATAGAAGGAGGAGCAGGAGGCGGAGGAGGAGAAGGAAAAGGATAATGGGAAGAAGGAGGAGGAGGACGAAGAGGAGGAGAAGGAAGGAGGAGGATGAGGAGGAGGAAGAGGAGGAAGAGGAGGAGGAGGAGGATGAGGAGGAGGAGGAGGAGAAGAGAAGAGGAGGAGGAGGAGGAGGAGGAGGAGGCGGAGGTAGAGGAGCAGGAGGTGGAGGGAGAAGGAGGAGGAGGAGGGAGGAGGAGGAGCAGGAGGCGGAGGAAACATGCTCGGCCTGTGCCGCACGCTCGGCCTCCGCCATGCGCTCGGCCTCTGCCGCGCGCTCGGGGAGCGCCCGCGGCGCTGCCGCGGCTACCTCCGCTCTGGCGTCGGACTCGGGCGTGGTCTCCTCTTCATTAAGGAAAGACGCACGCACACACACAGACACACACAGCCACACACACAGACACACACACAGACACACACACACACACAGACACACACACAGACACACACAGACACAGACACAGACACAGACACAGACACAGACACACACACAGACACAGACACAGACACAGACACAGACACAGACACAGACACAGACACAGACACACAGACACACACACACACAGACACACACACACATGTATATATATATATATGTGTATATATATACATACATACCTACACACCTACACATTTTGGTCGTAGCGGCGGGGCGACTCGCCAGCGCGACGGGCGCCCCCCGCGGAGCGCGCAGCGTCGGAAAGAGGAAAAGAAAAGGAGAGACCTCACAGGGCGGTGGCCAGGGCGGCGGGCAGGCAGCGGGCAGGCAGCGGGCAGCGGCCGCGGGGGCGACTGTGCAGCGGGCGGGCGGGGGCCGCGGGCGGCTGAGGCGGGGCGGGGCAGTAGCAAGGCGACGCCGCGCCAAGAAGGCGGGCGAAAGAGCGCGGCGCGGGGCGGCGCAGCCGGAGCTTCGCCAAAGTTAGGCGGGCAGGGAGCCCTGGCAGGGGGCCCGAGGCGGGCGGCCGAAGCCTGAACGACCGCGGAACGCTGGAGAGACCAGCAGGCCAAGCGGAGGCGGGCGGGGCGGGGCAGGCGAGTGCGGAGGAGGCCCACAGGGGCGAGACCCGATCGACCGGGAGCGGCGGCGAGGGAGCGGAAAATCGCGGCGGGCCGCGAAGAAGGAGGCCGAGAGGCTGGGGGGCTTCAAGCGGCAGCCAAGGCCGCGCGCCACCCAGGCGCCAGGGAGGTCCAAGGCAGAGCCGCGTCAGGCGGCCACTATTAGTGGGGGCCCACCAGGCCGCCCGTCCCTTTGAGCGCTAGGACAAGCAGTGCATCCAGTTCCGATGCTCTCGGACGGGGGCAGCAGCAGGTTGGCATTGAACAAGGTCTGCCATGGGAGGGAGACCGGGTCCTTGGGCCCCACGCCCCATGGGGGGCACGACCACCTGCCCTACCCTTGCCAGGGGCGCACGGCATGAAAGGCAGGCGCCCCAGCGCGCAAGGCTTGACGCGGGGCGGAGGTCGGGAATAGTCGTGGCGAACGCGCCGCACCGACAGCGAAGACGTGCGATGACCCGGAGAACTGGAGACGGTCGGTCGGACTGCCCAACCGCGGGGGCCGAGCTGGGCTCATCCGGGGCGGTGCCGCCGGAGTCTGGGGGCCCGGCGGCAACCGAAGGCGGGCGGAGGATCCCCTCGATGGCCGAGGGGCCCATTCAGGGGTCGCTGCAGTTGGGGCAGACGCCGAGCACGCACGGCGGGCGGTGTTCGAGAAAGGTCCAACGTGCCTGGCAACGCGGGCATGACAGAATGAACCTGGGCAAGCCCGCGGGGTTGCCGGTCGAAGAAGGCCCTGCTGCGGGGGGACTGAGGCAGCGTAGCTGGCGGGCAGTAGGCCGCGCGTGGCTGAGACGAGTCGCGCGAGGCCACGTCTGACTCATAACTGCATGTCGTGGGAGAACAGTGAGGGGACAACGCCGCGGGTGGCACGCATAACCGCGGCATTGAGCGGGGCGGAACCGAAAGAACCTCCGTCGTTTATATAGGCGAACAGCTCTCTCGACGTGGTTGGCGGGTGGGTGGTACCGCTGCGGAGGCTGCGCCCATGGTCAATCGCGGCACTGATGGCACGTCCCTTCCTTGCAGCTGTAGCCGCGGAGAGCGGGGTCCGCCTGACGAAGGGGAATGCGGGAGGTGCGGCAGCCGGGGCAGACGAGCCAGATGCAGATACCGCAAGCGATGCACGGCCGCCACGCACACAGCCGATCCCAAGTGAGGCTGGCCCCTTCGGGAAGAACGGGCCACGGGAGCGGCGGGCGCGGAGCCAAGATGGCCCGCGTCCGTGCGGCGACAGGGCCATGCCAGTCATGATTGGCTCACATGGCGGCAAGTGAAACAAGGGGCGCGCGGTCTCGAGCCAGGGCCGCAAAGAGAGGGCGCGCCGTCGTGGAAAGTTACTACTTGCTGAGCCCCAGGGGCCCAGCTGGGGGGCTGGCGAGTGTCCACGGGACGGGCCCCGTCTGTCGGGCCTGCGGGGGGGCGCAGACATGCGCTGCGCCAGAAATGTCCTCTGTCGGGGAACGGCCCGCACAGCGGGGCATTGACGTCGACGCCGCGCGTGGGGTACCGTGTCGAGGAGCCCGGCGCGGGCCCTCGGGGGAGAAGAAGCGAATAGACCAGGAGGGCCGGGGGGCGCAGGCCCCCTCCCCGAGCACGAGCTGGTTCGGAGGAGGGGACCCGCAGGCCGGAGCCGTCGGTGGGCCCTCCTCCACAGGCCTCCTCGGAGGCCCATCCAGGGAGAGAGTTTCCACCGCCACCATCCGCGGGCTCCATAGTCCACAGACTATGGACCCCCCGACGCGGCGCCTACAGACGGCTAAGGCCGCGACACGGGGCGCCCCCCCCCTCCCGCGCCCCCCCCTCCAGGGGGTCCCAGGCGCGCGCGCGTCCTGGAGGGGAACCCAGCCCAGGGCGGGAGCTCTTGAGCGAGGAGGCGCACCGCACGGCCTTGAGCCAGAGGCTACGGACCACTCGCGCACGCACACATACCGGCACACCGACTCAGCACATTCTTTGGCGTCGCGGCCACGCGCGCGGCGTCGCTGCGTAGAATTGGTCGGTCGCACCCACACACACACGCATAAGCTCTCGGCGGTCCGCGCGGACTTCTCAGAGCCAGCGCTGGATCTCCCTCCTCGCGGCGCCTGCGGCGCCCCGAATGCTTACAACAATCACATGAAATCAGAAGCCAGCCTGCCGGCAGGTGCCCAACGGAATTTTCATATCCCCCGATGGCCCTGGGGGCCCACAGAAACTCTGGGGCACCGCAGGGCCCTCAAAGATCGACGAAAGAGGTGCCCACTGCATGCCTGCCCCGTGGTGGTCCTCATCGTCGCGCCTCTGCGCCGCTCCCAGAGGAGGCTCCGCCGCGGCACCTGCCTGCGCGGCCGCACTCGGCTGCAGCAGGCCCCCCTCTGCTGAGTGGCTCGGCTGCGGGCCCTCCGCCGCCGCTGGCTCCGGGCCGCCCCCCTGCGGCTCCGCGCAGGCCTCTGGGCGTTGGGCGTTGCTTGATTCAAGGGGAGGCCATGTTAAGGGGAGTGGTGGGGGGGGGGGGGGGGGGGCGAAGGCGAAGAAGCGTGCACCTTCCGTGCCCTTTATGGGCCTCGGGGGCGCCTTCATGGCCCACGAGGTGCATAAAAGGTGCGCCTGTCTGCCCCCCCCCCCCCCCCCAACTGATCGCCCCCCCATAACGCAACGGCCGTTGGCGCGCGCCGGGGAGATTTGCGACCCAGAGTTCAATCAGAGGCAGCAGCGTGGACTGGGGATTCCCCGCTGCAGTGTCCCTGCGAAGAACCGCGGGCCATTCCTCCTCCTCCTCCTCCTCCTGCTCCTGCTCCTGCTCCTGCTCCTGCTCCTGCTCCTGCTCCTGCTCCTCCTCCTCCTCCTCATCCTCCTCCTGCTGCTCCTCTCAAGCGACTTGGGCCCGAACCATTTTGGCGGGGCCCATTCTCCCGTACCTGCCCGAGGTGCTTGAGGTACTCCGAGCCCCGCTCAGCTTCGATCGGCCCGCTCGGTTGACTAAAGCAGGAGAGTTCATATCAGCCGCCATGTCACGTCCAGCGTCACGTTCTGTTTCCCCTCGGCGCTGGTCTCGCTGCGAGAACTGTAAGAGGTGCGTATGGAATGATATCCTCAGCAAGATGGACAATACTTGTGTGCACTGTGCTCATGAGGTCAAGATCTACAGACCCAAGGGCGACAAGCTGCCATCGCGTTCAGCCTCCAGGGAGAGACGCGAACGTTGGGTTACTTTCGCTGACTGGGTCGACGAGCCGCTGGACAATGCTGAGAACACCCGTGTGCGGCCGTGGAAGCAGCCAGACCCTGTGCGCGATCATCTCATGGACGCGGTGAAGATCACAAAGGATGAGGAGCTCAAGAAGCTCTTCCAGCTGAGGGTGGAGTCTCTTTCGACGACCCAATCGTCGCCGACACCACCTTCGGCTGCAGCGGCGCTGTCCAAGGCGGACTCCGCCTGGCGCGACGCCAACCACAAGCACGACCAGGCCGCGGAGGTTGCGCTCCGCCCTGTCAGTGGCCGAAGGCAAGGAGGCCGCGGCGGCCGTCGTCCTTGCCACCGCCGAGATCACGCACAAGGGCGCGGTCAAGTCACTCGCGAGGGCCGAAGGGGTTGCAGCAGCGCCCGAGGCCACGTCTGCGAGCGACAAGAAGTCCGAGCTGCTCTTCGAGCTCACGTGAGACGAGTCCATCTTCCAGGACGTCGAGGGCCTGGGGGTGGGAGAGTCCGAGAAGAAGGATCTGCGCACCATCTACGAGCAGCTCACCGCCACGCAGAAGGCCTTCACCACAAAGTCGTCCGAGGCGAAGGAGTGGCTAGTCGGGGCCGCCAAGTTGCGCGATGCCATCGACCAGCGGATGGCCAAGAAGAGGAGGTCCAACGACGGCGGCGCCCAGGCCGCGGCGACCGAGCCGCAGGCGCCGCCAGCAGACGGCGGGAGTGGCTCCGAGGGCGCTGGGGATGCTGCGGGGGCCGCTGCAGATGAGGATCGCGCAGCCGAGGAGCAGGAGGCTGCCGATGCCAAGACCCAGGCGGAGGCGGCCAGGCTGTCAGCGGCCAAGTTCGCAGCGGCCGAGGCGGTGACGGCGGCGGCCCCTGGCAAGTCAGGCGCATGGGCGGCCGCCAGGCCCGCGGCCGCCGCGGCTGTCAGCGCTTGACGGGTTGCGCGTGGCCACGAGACCCTCTCCATTTTCCACGCCAGCGTCACAGCCCTGGGGGATCAGGCTTGGACGTATCTCTGTCATAATTGTGCTGATCACGACCTCTGGGGATGCATCGAGACTCACTTGTCTGAGTCGAGTTTACTCAAAAAGGATCATATGTCTCGTGAGCAGCATCAGCGCACGATCGCGAACCCAGCTCGTGCCACTGGACACCACCGATCGGCAGCTACGATCGAGCGAGCCACCGAGAGGGGCGATATCCTCTTCGCCAAGAAGCACCTGCAGGTGCCCAGCTTGGGTGACATCCAGGCCAAGGCCCCCAAGGCCCCAGGGTTTGAGGCATCGGACGGTTTCGTTGCGTCGATCTTCCAGCACCAGGGTTTCGCATTCATCTTAGTTCGCAGCTTTTCGCAAAGATGTTCGGTGACTGCACTGTGCGAGATGAGGTGGAAGAGGTTGACGCTTCGGTTCCGTCTGAGGATGACTATGTGATTGACGAGTGGCCTGGGGAAGAAGACCCTTGGATCCACGTGTCGAGTTTCTGTCCCCGCGCTGCGACTGTGCCCTCGGCCGCCGTTGATCCCAATGGTGTCCAGGTGGGCACTGGCAAAAATGATGCGCCGTCGTCGCCGCGGCAGCGTAGGGGGTCAGATACCCAGGGCCCGAGTCGGTTGTCTGAAGTTGGCCAATGCGTTTCCCCTCTCAGCGATCGCGCGCCCTGCCAGCTCGAGGGGGCGACCCTGGATGATCCTTCTCTCAACGTCGAGCCCGAGTTTTATGTCCCAGGATTGTTGGCGAGCCAATCGGTCATCCATTTATTTCGATCAGCGCGCAGGAGAAGACATGCATCCCTTGTTTCTGTCTTCTGTAGCATGTTGACTCAATCCCAAGCCAGCCCCTTTCGTTAGTTCATGGTGCCCTACGTGGGTCAGAGGTGTTGAGACGGCCATTCTTGACCACCGCGGCATTGAGGAGTAGGCTGGCCCCAGCAGAGGCACCGGCTGTAAGTTTGCGGTCGAGGAGGTCCGCCAGCAAGCCCCTCTGCGTGACCAGGTGGCGCGCAAGTGGAAGCGAGTGGCGGCCTTGCTGGGGCGAGCGCTCAAACGTCGTCCACGACAGAACGGTAAGAGGGAGTTGGGCAACATTTGGCACGCCTGTCGCCAGCTTATGCATGATCCGCCCAGAGGTGCGCGCGGTCTTCTTCGGCCCGTTCGCGACGCTGGCGACGGGGAGCGGGCTCAAGTGCTACTCGACGTGGCCAGCATGGCCGACCCAGTCCTCGAGTCCTTCCGCGATCAGGCTGCGCGGATCGCGAAGCGAGGGCAGAGGCGAGCGGTCCATGAGTCACTGGCGGAGTTTCAGGAGTGGGTCGTGGAACGAGCAGCTGCTGCCTGCGCTGGAGCTATACGAGGGCTCGAGCGTCGTAGTGCATCCCAAAGACATCTTAGACAGCAAGGCGCGGCGCTGGCAGGAGTTGTGGGCTCCTCGCCCAGTTGATTGGGATCGCATGCGGAGGGCTTTCGAGGCGGCGCGCGCGGCGGCTGATCCGGGGCCGATGGGGCCCATCACCGAGTGGGACACTCGGCGAGCGGCCCGCGCCATGCAGACAGCATGAAAGCGACCAAGCTTTCTGGCTGAGGGGGCTCATACCTCGTGCGTGGGCTGAGGTGACGCCCCCCATGTGCACAGGAGGCTTGGTGAGGCAGCGGAGTGTTCAGGAAAGAAAATGCAGACGGTATCTTCGAACCAGGGTCGATCTCTCAACCAGTGGTTTGTTTGGGGACGCGTCAGGCGGCCCAGATTGCAAGGATTCCAGATTACGACGTGTCGGATGCGGTTCTGTCGCTGAGTGTAGTGAGCGGGGTCTGACCATTCAAGGAGTGGTGGTGGGTCCGCTGCCTGGCGTCCAGACAGTACCCAGGGGTGAGTTGTATATGTTGTGGATGGCCCTTCGATTGACGGTCGACCACTTGATCTCTCTCTCTCTCTCTTTCTCTCTCTCTCTCTCTCTCTCTCTCTCTCTCTCTCTCTCTCTCTATATATATATATATGATACCGGAGAAAAACCCCAATCAGATTTTTGTTAGGGCTGTAGGGCTATAGGGCTATTGGGCTACAGGGCTATACGGCTATCGGGCTATAGGGCTCTCGGGCTATAGGACTGTGACCTATAGGGCCATAGGGCTATAGGGCTATGGGGCTATAGAGCTATATGGGCTATGGGGCTATAAGGCTATAGAGACATAAGGCTATTAGGGCTATAGGGATATGAGGCTATAGGGCTACAGGGCTATAGAGCTATACGGCTATAGGGCTATAGGGCTATAGGGCTACTGGGCTATTGGGCACCCCCGGGCACCCGGGCACCCCCGGGCACCCGGGCACCCCCAGGCACCCCCCGGGCACCCGGGCACCCAGGCCCGGCCACCGAACTCGGCCACCTGGGCACCCCCGGGCACCCGGGCACCCGGCCCCGGCCACCGAAATCGGCCGTCCACCTCACCTCAGCTTTATATCCGCTAGGACCTCTACAGAAGCAAGCTCTGATTGGGGATTTTTTTTTTTTTTCTTTTTTTTTTTTCTCTCTCTCTCTCTCTCTCTCTCTCTCTCTCTTCTCTCTCTCTATATATATATATATATACTAGAACCACGCGCGCGCTTCGCGCGCGCTTAGGTTCTGTCGAGTCACAGACCCAGGAATCGTTGCGAGAAGAAATTGGTGACGCGAAGCGTCTTGGGGGCGTCCTTGGACGTCTGGGGTCTCCTGGGGCCTCTTGAGGGGCCTCCTTGGGGCCTTCTTGGGCTCCATCTGGAAGCCAAGATGGATGCAACAAGAGGGTGCTTGGGCTCTCCGTGAGCTATCCTCTGGTTTTCATTCCCCTGGAGAGGAGAAGGAGGAGGAGGAGGAGGAGGAGGAGGAGGATGAGAAGGAGGAGGAGGAGGAAGATGCAGAGGAGGGAGGAGGAGGAAGGAGAGGAGATGTTGGGGCGCTCTTGGGGCCCTCTTGGGCTCTCTTGGGGCTCGTCGGGGCCCTCGTGGGGCCACCTTGGGCTCCTCTCGGAGCTCCAAGAGGAGCCCACAGAGGGGCCCAACATCGGTCACGCGAGAGCTCTTTCGCGTGACCGATGTTGGGGCCCTCTTGGGGCCCTATTGGGCCTCCTTGGGCCCTCTTGGGGTCTCGACGGGGCCCTCGTGGGGCCATCTTGGGCTCCTCTCGGAGCACCAAGAGGAGCCCAAAGAGGGGGCCCAACATCGGTCACGCGAGAGCTCTTCCGCGTGACCGATGTTGGGGCCATCTTGGGGTT